GGCCCCGTGGCGCCACCCCTCGGGCTTCCTGGAATCAGCCACTGATCTGTTTCAGCAGCGGCTGAATCAGGGACCCCTGGAGCAGAGCAGCTGGGGTCCTGCCGGGTTGGTCCCGCAGCGCCGTCCTTTGGTGCTGCGGGACCAACCTGGCAGCACTCCACCTGCTCTTCCCCAGGCATCCCCAAGAGCAGCTGGGGTGCTGCTGGGTTGGTCCCGCAGCCCCGAGGGGCAGCACTACAGGACCAACCAGGCAGTACCCCAGCTGCTCTGTCCCAGGTGTCCCCAAGAGCAGCTGGAGTGCTGTTGGGTTGGTGCCGTAGCGCCGCCCTTCGGCGCTGCGGGACCAACCCGGCAGCACCCCAGCTGCTCTATTGCAGGCATCCCCGATTCAGCTGCTGCTGAAACTGACCAGCAGCGGCTGAATCAGGGACGCCTGGGACATCCTTCTGATGTCTTAGAGCTATGAGGGGCCTGGGGTGGCATCCCCTCCCACCCTACTCCAGACCCCTCATGCCCCCCCCTTCTGATAGTCCGGCATCTCTCATAATCCGGCACCCCCTGGGTCCTAGAGGTGCCGGATTATCGGAAGTTAACTGTAGTCATTTAAATGATTAGCCTGAGTTTATTGATTAATCCAAATGACTACACACACATATCCCTCCTTGATGCCTCTGTATCAGAGTAGCGCAGGGTGGCAGGGGGTTCCCCAGGAGTGGGGATGGGAGCATACTGGCTGCCAGCCCCACTTCTGAGGGAGCATTTTAGTAACTTTGTAACCACTAAAAATTGTGATAACTGCACGATTACTAAAATACACAATATCTCACATTTAGCAATATTTAGTGTGGCAAATACATCCTTGAGTGGCTCATTTCATGTCACCAAATTCTGCTGTTTTCATGTAAACTCTGATCTTTATACCAAAATGAAAAACTGGTAATTCATCAAGATAAGCACTCATATTGAATAATAGCTGGGATTTCATCAAAAACTTTTCAACATGCTCTAAACTAAAGAGAAACAAACAAACAAAAACAAATCTCAACATTTTAGGAGGAGTACTTTATTTGAAGATATTTCAAAAGCACAACCAACCACCAAGCTTCCCTAGAGGTTTTTGAGGAAGACAAACCTTTTACTGACCAATGACCTTATAAATATTTTCACTATTATACACAGCTGCAGATCTATAAACCAAAGCATTTTTGCTCTCAATTGCTGAACCTGAACTTGCTGCCTAAAGCTATAAAATCCCAAAGTGTTCTTGGTGCTCTCCAAGGAGAAACACATTTAGAGATAAAATAAAATAAACACTTTTTCTCCCCTTCTGTCCCTGACCCCCCCAAAACCCAAATGCTCAGACAATGAGATGCCAAATAGGCTGATCAGTTTTTATTAGTGTAAAATGTGCTCACCGAGAGGTAACTGCTAGCATCCACATGGTCTGTGATGGTCTGACGTTCCCCCCGCTGGTTAATCTTCCTAAACCTTCGTCGAGATTGCCTGAGGGGAACTTCTCTTTGCAGGATATTCTCTTCATTGTCTTTGGAATTCTCCACCTGAAACACATGTTCAGAATCCTGGTTAAACATCCAATTCTTCCATATCATTGAAAGTCTGTGGAACCTTATTAAGCTCATGAGGAAGGCATTAACAGTAGCTGAGATCAGTTAAGTCTTAGGAAACAGACTACACAAATTTCTTAAGCAAACCAGTGCTACGTGTCTTGAAATGATGTTATTACAATGAGCTGGAGGCCACAGCTTCCTTCCGGGAAACAGTAAAGAAAAAAAAATCCCCCACCCCTCATACGCACACAGCCTTTAGACAAAAGTAGTAAGACTTCTTACTGCAGTTACATATACTACTTTATAACAAATTAAAATAATTATATATTTTTCAGCTCGTTCGTAGACTATGATGATGTACTCCCTACTTTATCAGGTTGTTCATTAAAACATGTAAATAAGTTTGTTTTACAATATGATTTTACACAGACTTGGCAGTGTAGACAGAGAACATCATGCTTGAAATTACGTTAAGATGGACCATGACCAGCAAGGTCCTAGCCCATCCATCCAACAACTATAAGCCCTCATTCTTTATTAATGACCACTTTATTGAATAAATATAAAACAACTTTAAAAAGAAATAACTAGAAACTGCCATGAGCATTTCATACTCAACTTTATTTGGGTTTAAAATTTTCTCCAAGGCAGCATATTTAAATATATGACCACAGATAAACACTGTTAAGCACTGTACTTGTATCTAACTTGTTCCAATTCCATTTCCCACCCCTATAAAAAACAGACTCATCCTTCCACATTTCCTTCTGATGTCTTAGAAAAACATATCACAGCAGGAAACAGAACAGACATATATATACACTAATAAGGCTACATCCAAGCAAAGACTTCTTCTAACATCTCTAATACATAACAGTTTCTACTTTCTTATCTTACACATTTAAAAGATTTATATTGGAAATTTAAAAACACAGCTGTAAAAATTCCTATAGAAACAGAGACCAGCAACTTTACAGCCTCTTTTAGCAATATTCCTTTGTAAATTTACTCAGGTTCAAAAGTGTACCAAGAGAAATGAAAACAAGACAAGACAGAATTGGAAAACAGGAAATAAGCAAATAACTACTGTGTTCTTAGTTATTCATGAATCTGAACACAACCTCACATTAACTGTGAGACAGCATGTCTCTCTAAGTCAGTATGAGAATGTAAACAATCCTTTAAATTGTAAAGTTTTTTTTAAAAAAAATACTGAGAAAAAATAACATTGAAAAAGGAAAAATAGAAACACAACTTCCTTTCTAGCAAGGTTATATACAAGAAGTTATCCTTATGACTAGTGAACTGACCAGGTAGACACAAATCTGACATCACAGCTGGGAACAAAACAAACATGCAAAAAAATCAAACACATTCTGGATGTGAAAGTGTAACCACATAAATAGTTAACCAATGAGCCTTGAGCTCATCGGTTAAATTTCATGGTTACGTGCAGGTTTCCGGTACATACAAGGAGCCGGCTTAAAAGCAAGCTCCCGTGTGCACTGCCTCCCAGGGAGCCACCGGCCGCACCATGCATAACCACTGAAATTTTCAGCTGTAACACAATTACTTAATTACACACATTTTAACATCCCTACCTAACACAAAACTGGTACTAAAAATGAGGAAACTAAGCAGGTGTCCCACTAGCAATTAATACTATTCACAAGGAATGTATTATAGATTTGCAAAGGCAGAGGTTAAAGACTAAAGTAAAAATTGGGTTTTTACTTAGTAATAAAACTACTGTCAGTCCCATGAAAGTGGCCATGACCAAAATTCTGAAATTTAGCTTCTAATAAAGTTATCTTATTAAAGTAGCCAAAATAATTACAGGCAGTCCCCGACTTACGTGGATCCGACTTATGTCAGATCCGCACTTACGAACGGGGCTTTCTCGCCCCGGAGCTCACAGGCAGCGGTCAGCCACCTTGACCTCCGGGATGAGAAAAGCTGCTCCTGGTGCCCCTGGTCTGCTGGGGACCGTCTCCAGCAGACCAGGGGCACCGCAAGCAAACCC